TTTATATGTGAATACTCGATTTTGATCACCATCTCATATCCGCTGATTAGATCCTAGATCCCAACACTTATTCGTTCTTATTAGTCGATTATCTAAAGTAAATTAAGTTTAACGTGCTTTTTTAAAATGAAATGATGGTGAAAACACTCATTTGTTGAACATTCTGTCACAGGTTTGAACCACTCTCCATCCAATTCATTTTGAGATTACTCGATAGTATTTAAGCGCAATCCAACACAATAACCAAACAATGGGGCTTCAAGTATTATTTTTACTATTGAATACTGAACCACTGGTTTATATTCACAACTTCAGGCTATTTACAAAACAATACTGTTTTTATCTAATCTCATCAGTGAGTTTCTAAATGATTCTATCTTTGATTTGTAATGCGAGTCATTGCTTGGTTTGTTCTTCGATAGGTAGGTAAATTATTCTGTCATCTAATATATATATATATATATATATATATATATATATATATATAATTAACTTTCTACTCAATTTATTTGAAATCATAATTTCCATCCTTTGCATGATTAAGATATCAAAAGAACCGAAAACAGCACAATCTTATCATGATGGAAACTGTGTGACGGATTTGAAACTAATTAAAGCAATATGAAAAGATATTGTTTGTATACACTAGCAGAACTAAACTTAACCATAAATTAAGGTATTTCAACGATAAATAACATAATAATTCACCAACGATAGTGTTTGTTATAAATGTATCTTTCAGACATAACTATGCTAGGTGAACATTGAATTTTATCCAAATGTTTCAAATGAATAACATGAATGACGGGTAACTAATGTTGAATGATTTATCATATACTCCAAAAGAAAGTAATGTATAAAGTGTTAAATAATATTATGTAAACCAATAAATGTATATTTCTAGTAAATAGCTGAGTAGTTAAATTTATGAGTTTCATTCTAAATCTTTTACTTGCTTCAAAGAAACAGCCCTGGGTCCAAGCACATTCGAAGTATCTTAAGCTGTCGATTCGATTCACTGAAAACGATCATTTTCGTTCAGATTTTGTGGTCGATCTCTAATTCCTTACCATTTCTACATCATTCAATTAAACAAGGAATTCGGTGAAAAAAAACATACTAAGTCAACTAACCAGTTTTCTTTTTTGGAACCTCTTTTACATGTTCTTTCGGTAATTCTTTCTTCGCTGGTTCAACATCTGATTTTTCCTGTGAGTTATCATGTGATAGCCAACTAATCAATGAAGCAGGCTTAGGGGATGCAGATCTAGGTGGGTTTTTATCGTCTGGTTTACTCATCTTGTATATTTGTGAATTCGATAAGATGATGTATACGTATATGGGTATATTAGACAGGTACAGATGAACAAATATGTTATCAACACAGAAGACTTAAACAAGACATAAAATCCAATGGGCAATATAGAAGAATAAATTAAGCGTGATTTCAGAATAAAACTAATCTTCACTGTATTTTGTCCCCTTTTTTATAAAGCTCCCTTTCCTAAATCGATTAAATTAGATTTTATATTGATTTTGACAGCTATTCTTTAAACAAACGAATCTTGAGCCCAGTGATTATTTCATGACTTTGGTCAGTGTTAGTGGATTGGCTCTAGTGAATTAGACACATAAAGGAAGAGGAATGGAGGGTGGGTGTCCAAGTGGTAAGTAAATGTAGGTAAGTGTGTGCAAAGGCAATTCTCATACAATGTTTATTGATTGAATGTTCTTCAGTTATTGAAAACCAATATGATTTGGATTAAGTAGGTTATTCCAAGCCAATTATGCATACGATTTGAAGGTAATGGAGAGAAAGTATTTACCTTTTAAGTATTTCAATATGATTGAACCAATAGAAAATTTAGGCAATACCAATTGATCAACGTCTCGGCTACATGAAAAGCATGGTGTAGTCATACTTATCAGGACTTCTTATGTTTTCTAGACCAAATATCATTAGAACACATAATGACTAATAAAGTATTTATTTGTTCTATTGTATGACCACAAACTGAATCCAATAGATTATGGTTTTAAGATGGATTTGTTGAGTGACGTTAAGGCGTGTTAAACAACTAATCTATCATTTAGATTGAGATCATGAGTTGATTGATGTTAGACCAACATTCTAACCATGGAAGCAATGAACGGTCGTTTCGTCTTAGTATAGTATTCCTCAGCAGTGCTCATCCACGATCCCTCTGGAGAGTCCCATACTAAGACGTGACGGCCATCCACTGCTCTCAAGATTCCAATGGCGGTCTAACATCAATCAATTCATGATCTAAAAAGCATAACAAACTCCACAACCCCATACTGAGATTCTATCATTGTTTAAGTTCTTTTTAAACTCAAGCTTTGAATCATTATTTTTTTGTATAGAGTTTTTGAAAGTCAATCTATCTGTTGATATAATCAAAGAACCGCCAAACTGTAATCTCATTACATGACATAGTGAATGGATCGCCTTTTACTACAATCATGCTTAAATTTCACCTATGGATCGCATTTTATTTGCATTTAACCAGTGACCAACAGAGACGTTATAAGAATACGAATAATATCAGAACTATGTGATATATTAGCGCAATACATTTCGAACAATCTGATCACATATATACACTATCGAAATTTATCAGAGGCATTAATTGCTTTAGAAACGTTATAATTTACATATCTTTACGTGTGTAAATATCTTTCATTCAATGCATCACGTTATGAAATTTTTTCATAAGTACAGAACATTAATCCTAACATGAACACTAATTATAGTCTTATATTGAAAATTTCGAAAGCAAATAATAATACTCAGTATTACAAACTGGTGTTAGTTAAATAACTGCCGAAATTCTGGAAAGACGAAAACCTGAAGTTCCTATATTCGACCCTCATTAGTTTTATGGAAGATCACTGTTGTGGAGTCCTGTGCTAGGACGAAATATCATGAGAACTGAGAAGGAACTAATACAAGCCTTTAAAAATTAAATCATTTTATGAACTCCACACCTGGTTTAAAAATCGAGAAGGACAAAGATTTCAAATTTTAATCTTTCTATTATCTTCTTAAACAAACTGAAAATACTTTTAGTCCATTTGTCTATTAATCAGATCGTTGAGCTTACTGAGACTGATTGAAAATAAATAAACTAGTGCATAATTATTTCATTACTTTGAATACTATGCACTGATTTATTTTAGTTAACAGTAAACTCCACAAATATATATATATATATATATATATATATATATATATATATATATATCCTAGGGTATCTAATGTTATTTCAAATGTGTTAGAATAGTTGGACTCTCCAAGGTAAATCAAAATGATTGGATTCATAAACAATTCATAATTTTGTTGGGATTAACAACATGATATATTCTTCTTGAACTATGACTTTCGGTGAATTCATAAATCTGTTCGATATTTTGGAAAGTTTCAGGCGTCGTAAATCATCTAATTACCTAATGAGAATATTAACTTGGACAGGTTATACTAACCACATAATTCCTTGACGTTTTCAATATTTTCGGATGTAAATACAACTGAGCATAAAAAGGGTCGTTAAATTAAGAAAAACACCAAACACTATTTATTTCGGACTTTGACTTTCTATGATTTATCATAGAGCTTTACGATTTCAATGGTGAAATCGTCTATTCTCACATTATCTCGTTATTATTTTTCGAATAGTGGAAAGAGTAAAAATGAACCCATCAGAATCTGGAGATAGCTAGGTTGGTCAGTATACGCACTCATTGACGTGAAATATATGTATTTTGATATCTAAGGGCTTTGGCTATTTTCAAGTAAATGAATGAGCGGCAATCTATAAACAATCTCCATAAATTTTAAAAGCTAACTAAAACTGATACAAACTAATTATTTGTATCAATGTTCAGAATAAATGTGTTCATAGGTTGTACATATCAGAATATTTATAACATCTTAGACTTTGAGATCTCATTGCAAATATACTTATATGTTCATTAATGAAATCATAGGTAAATAAATAAAGGAATTATCAAATAAACATAGATTTATCTTGTATATGTGTGAGTGAGTGTGTGAGAGAGAATGAGTGAAAAACAACAATCGTCGAGTCACATTTTACCAGATAAAATTATTCATTCGAAAAATATTGATCGGTTGGTTAATGAATCAAAACTACTGCATATTAAAAAGTTACAAAAAACAATACCTTCTTGATATAAAATGGATTTATTACTGTCGATTACTGTGATGTAACATAATTATATATATATATATTCATTATGTAAAAATACCAGTTTAAAAAAAATTATTTCATAGAAGAATTATTGATTTGCCTCAATTGAAGTTTGATCGCATCATGGACCAACATTTAATTCCTTGGAACATGAGTTTCTTTAACAGTAAATATCCTCAATTCTACCAGATTTCAAATATAGGATCTTTAAGACTTAAAATCACTCACATGTTAACCAACTGTTCAAATCTTTAACTTCGATAATTTTTAGGTAACACAACACGAGGTCCATCCATTGCCATTGCCATCGCCATCATATTTAGACTCTGTTGGCTACATCTCGCTGGAACTTATGAGGTATCTCTCGAAGTTAAGCATTACTGAGCATATGACTATTACTTAAATATAAAGTATATTCGAAAGTTCATCTATATCACAAATCGACTGGATTCAAAAATTGAAACTACTAAAAGACAAGTCAGTACTCTAAATATATCACTCTCATCAGGAGTCCCTAATGTTCTGAATTTGATGCCTACTAGAGTCATTGGTACACATAAAGAAGAAGACTTTAATACTGGGTCAAAACTCCTATCCAATGCTCCGTAGATTTCAATGGGTATGTAGGTCAAGTTAGTCAGCGTTGTAATAATAACCTGAAGCTGTAGTTATCATAACTTCATATGAAGAACTTATCCTATTATACGATGATATGCTTAGATAAATGAGGAATTGTAAACTCCAGAATAAAACAACGAAAAAACTTACTGGTTAATCCTTTCGTCTTTTGTGGAAATTCATAACGTATTGACAATTCAATCGTTGACTACATGAATTTTCATGGTTTGTTGCGAAAGAAAATAATACAAGAATAAAGATATTAAGTGTGAGAACCAAAAATAGTAAGTCTAATCAACATTAACTAAACTAAAATATTTTTGGTGATCAAGATGACTTCAGAAATCGAAATTGATACCGAAAATAGTTCGTAGTTGAACAAATATATTCTATCAGATGATAAACTAATGTACACCAAGTTATCAGTGGAGAGAAGAGAGAGGGTTTGTGAAAATTAGAATATTGGACTCAATGTAACTTAATCAGTGAAATTCATTCGACACTAAGGACCAAATATTATGATGAATCTTTATTATTAGTTCAATTCATGAGTCTATCTAATCTAGACCACCATTGGAAACCTGGAAGCAATGGACGGCCATTTGATCCTAGTATGGGAATCCTCAGCAACGCTCATCTACGATCTCGCACGCGGGACTCGGACACAGAACCTTCGATTTTGTATGTGAACGTCTAACTTCTAGACACTGAGCCGGCATCCAACAGTCTTCATTTCTAGCTCCAATCAACCCATGATCTTGTGCAAATACAAACTCCACAAACCCCCATACCGATAATAATCATGTGCACACTAGTGATTAGCATCATGATGTATTTCCTGAAGTTCCAGTGAAAAGCCGGGATCAATAGAGTGCGATCCGTGTTGGGTGAAGACAGTTACACACCAAAAGGCAGTGGATAAAGTGTTGTGCAAGATCATGGATCGATTAAAGTTAGACATTAACACCATTGGACACCGGCTCGATAGACTAGAGATTATGCGTTCACTCACGAAACCGACGGTCTTCTGTCCGAGGCCCATACTAGGAAGAAACAGCTGTCCGATTATTCCAGGTTTTCAGTGGTTTTCTAGCTTAGATGGACTCATGGCTTCAAATTTGAAAATACTACAATCTCCACGAATCTTCGTGCAAATTTCTACATGTTCTTCGATGGATTTCAAGCTGAATGTTAATAAAGACAAATTCTACCACTAGATATACAAATTTTGCCCTGTGTGTGCGAAACCTGGACACGAAGAGGCCAGAATGTTCGGTAACTGTGTTCGAAGGATTGCCAAAGTTCAACGGCAACACCAAGTTAGTAATGCTAAGGTTCTGCAATCTGTGTTCGGAAACATTGACAACAACTCAATGAGTATCACCACCTTGAAACACCAGTTCCGGTGACCTGGACATATCTCATCAATATCATCCTGATGGCCTCCACATTGTGTATTTCCCGACGCTGAGACTGGGTGAAAAAGTCGAAGATCGTTAGTTAATGAGATGGAGCTGTGGTACCAAAGAAAGGTGCATAGAACTGGCATCAGTAGGTCTATCATGACAGTCTGGCTGTGGTCCTAGAGATGGTGCAACTTAGTGGCTCGAAACGTTACCAGAAACGTTTCAGAACAGTAGCCAATAGAAACCCAGCTATAGTTTTATTCTGCTTTTTTTTTATAAAAATGAAAGGATTTTGTTCTAAATTTCCCACCACTTGGTTCTTATCAGTATTCAATGAATATTACAAAGTCAACGTCTCATGTGGTGACAGAGAACAGAGTAGTCGAGCTCGTCAAACATGTTAGTATTCTCGGAAGGTTTATTTAGCACTGGTGAATTTGTGTTAGATAATTCTGAACACTGATTCACAAAGCTCTGTTGACTCTTGCCAGCTAACATGAACTGTGGTGTAGACGATATGGCTATCTACAGAATAAAGGACGAGTCCGCAATCGTTAGCTTAGAAACCTTTCACTAGGTAAGGATGGCGAATCCATTGATATGGTTAAGACATATGTTAAGCGAATCTACTCATTGAATACGTCAACACCCATTAATGACAGGTGTAAGAGCAAGTTAAGAGAATGTTTGAGGAGGCAAAATAAAGACGTGATACCAGACCATAAAGACACTGATTGTTGGACTGAGCCGCGTAGGTAGATACAGACAAATTAGTTGGGGTCAGATTGATTACCGTAATCAGTCGTTGGAGACTTTGACTGACACGACTAGGAATCGTCTGCAAGGTGTATTCACACTTTATCCACATTTAGAGTCTAAGTTTCGAAGTCACCTTTGTTCTGTTATTCTGTATATCCTTTCGGAAAGGTTTTTTCAATGCTTAATCTTTTCTAAAACCACTGATATTGTTACTACATTTACTAATACGGGGTTTGTTCAGACGACTGCACCTCATTGTATTAATGGAATGCGGCAATTTAAACTTGTGCAGATATATTCCAGGTTCTATATTGCATATGACTGATTGCATGCTGTGTCACAATATGAAAAGCTAAATTGACTCTATATGAAGACTTTGACAAGAAACCATAGTAGTGAAGTTTTTAATCAACAGCATAGGAAGAGACAAGAAACACTAATTAATAAAGTAAAAAACTGATCAGCTAACAAAAAAACTAAATAGTGGCCGCATCTTTATCACTATCATTTCTTAGAGAGTTATTTCACAGACTGATTTTAACAAAAATTATTTTGAGCGTCCTAAAGACCTAAACAAATCAGCCTTATTCTTATCAAATATCACAGATTAAAAGTTGACAAATTCCATAAGTTGTTGGGTAGATGTCAACCGTATTCACAGCATATTTTGTTGTGACAAAAGTTGGTCATGTAAACCACTAGTTCCCAAATCAGTGGTCTAAAGGAAACGTACATGCCATGATTCTTGAAAGGTCTACATTCGATCTCCGATGAACGTATACATGAGCAATGGTGACGGGTTCTAAACAAAGACGTAATAAATCTAAACTCCCTTCAGCTACTCAAAGATAAAGTTACCCAGTGATGTATAATATGTACATCCAAATCTGTTTATAGTATCGAAGCGTTTAAGAAATTATCTAGTTGATATAAAATTCAATTAGTACTCAGCAAATTATATAGAGTAATTTATGGACAAACTTTGAGCGACGCTTAAGTGACCTTCAGAATGTCCATCTACTAACTAGGGTTAAAAGAGGTTTATAAATTAATGTAGGGAATTAAGATCAGGATTTACAGTCGGACGTTAAGGTTAGTAATTAGATTAAGGGTTTTCATCACGAAATTACAGTTATAATTCCAAAATGTTATTTAGCCAAGTGGATTAGTGAATTTCGCGCCGAAATCCAAAATCTGTTATTTTAAATCTTACTGATCCGTCCGTAAATCATAGTCTCATCGAATAGCTTTCTTTCTGAGAAAAAAATGTTTACTTATTTGCAAAACAAAAAGACCAAAGAATGGAAGAAGAAACTGGATCAAAACTGTCTGATGTTGACTAATGTTTGTTGATAAATATATTTTGATGGATCCTTATACTACGGAACATTTTAAACTTTACATATGTACAAAGTCGATGAACTCGCAAAATGACGTGTTATTCTCTCTATAATCAAATGACCTATAGCAGAAGATGTACAATATAATTAATTATATAATGTATTCGAGGGTTGAAGGTAATCGGCAACTAAAACTGACTAGATATGTATTTTCGTACAAGTTGGTTTATAGAATTCGAATGATGTTGAAAACTAATTAACAGGATGTCGGTTAACACTATGCAATTACATATTAGTGTAATAATGTTGAAATGAGTTATAATTACATTAATAGCTTATCAAAATGATGTAAGTCTGTGATGAGAGCTGTCTTGAAATCGGTACAGCCGATGATTATTTACCCCAATCAGTGAGTAACTATGGGATAAATCAGTAGAGTTTCAGTGAAAAGTGATAACCCGTCAATCATATCGGGAAGTCATACAGGTATCAACAGTGACACTATATTCGGTCTTAACTTAATGGTCTGTAGGTGACGTACAAACAGTGAAATCATAGGGCCCCTGATAAAGTAGTGAATATGCACTGTTGAGGAATGCAAAATGGAGATGATACAGTTGTCCAGTGAACGCTGGTTTTCAATAGTTTACAGTCCAAAAATAAATATTTTATTTTTAATTGGCTCACTTCATTCAGACCATTATCGATTGTTAGCTTATTAGCTGTACATACTTTAGTTACAGACAATTAAAGCTTTACAACCTTTTATATATTACTTACATCATATTTTTTACAACTATGATCTTTATTATCATATTGACATAATTAGTCGTTGTTCTCATTTCTGCCTGCATTGATCACTTTCAATATGATATATGTATATTTATAGAGGTTCTACATTTCAGTGGAGATTGTTTGATGATGATTAGTTGAAAGAAAATAAAAGGGAACCAAACATGATGCAAATAACTTAGTAGTAATTTCTTTGACATAGACAAGCGGTGTTATATTTCCAAATCTCTACTGAAAGAAATATATAGAGCATCAGTTCCTTCAACCCCGTAAATATACTTTCATTATAAATAAATGTCAATCGACGTGAAACACAATTTCCTACTTCCCTTCAACTAACCTCCAATTATCGAACATAAACGTTTTTTTCTTGGTGGAAAAATCGCCTCCAAATCTTCTAGCCTACTTAAATAGTATAATGAATGAATTCATAATAAAGAAGGGATTTTTCTTAACCTAATGTTGTCAACTTCATTAAAGAATATATCTAGTAAAAAGTATGTTGCTAGATAAATGTAAATATATATATATATATATATCTACTGTATCAGGTATTACATTCAAAAAAACTTATAAAACACAAAGCATTTTTTCTCATGACTAATTAAAGCAAAAATTTATGAATACAGTAGTCACCTTGACATCAACCATATGAATTATGATTTTTTTTAAAATATGATATAAGTTTATTTAGAGAATGAAAAACAATCAGAAATTGTTAGTAATCTGGACGAAATTCAATGAAGAGCTATTATTGAGTACATTTTTTCAGTTCATTTATCTTAATCGCTTTACGGTTAATTGAAGCTCTTTCCCTTAAAAATTACTAATCAAAGTAATAAACATACTGTAGTAAAACCGAAGGCAAGAAGAGCGAAAGCTCTAAGCCTAAAACTCTCCTTTTAGGGATGACAGTGGGTTTTTAAAAGGTATACTTTATCAGCTAATGCCTCATAAAACCCCTGCGGTCATCCTGCTGAGGAGTTACAGACCAGGTAGCTTGACAGACTTGAAAGAAAATCAAATCAGGTTATTAAAAGGGATATTCAAATATCCCAATTAAAGAGACTTAATACTACAGAATGGACATAAATTAAAGTGATCAAGAATTTTGTCCCTAAAGAATTGTCGCTTGCTGATCGCATGAAAAGGTAAAAAGCTGAAAAAGGAATAAGAATAATGTTATATGCTAGCAAAACGACCTTTGAACTGAAAATTTTTGGTCTATGGCGAACAATGAACCTGAAGGCAATTAAATAGTTTAAGGATCAATTACATAAATACCTGGAGCTTTCTGAACAAGCGATCATATCTAGGTGTACAAATAGTTTCTACAAGACCGGATGTAATTGCCATCACAGAAATTTGCCTGACTCAGTCTTTAGGCATTAATAAACTTGATTGACGAGCGCGAACTGGCATGAAAGCTAAGTCAAAAGTTCCCTGCGAATACAAATACTTGCAATTACCTAATATTTCAACACAGTGCACCTAATGTCTAGTTACTTGGATTAATAACCACAATTCTGCTTCACCCATAGAATTAGATCAGCTCTAATGACTAGACAAACATGACATTGTTTATAAGTATCAATATCAAGGTTGGACTTGATAGTTTCAAATAAAATGGGCATTGGGTAGAAATTTAATATTAAATACGTTTTTTGTTACATCCCAATAAGTCCGAAAACTGTTTCTGAAGTTTCGTGACTTGACGTAAGTCACTTCTTCAGAGTCAGTAAATAACCGACGTTAACACAAGTTTACGTAGTACAAGTCATGAAACGTCAGAAATACAATTTTTCTATATATTGGGATAAAACAAAAAATATATTTACTTTTAAACAAGACATTGGTCATTATCCAGTGATCACTCATTAGTACTGATTAAATTCTATCGATCAGGTTACTTTTTGGCCACTAGTTTAAATGATTTCACATCATGATGAAGTTTATATGGTGTTAAGTCGTTGGAAGTGACCGACGCGAAATCTTAGATCACCATTGGCTAATGATCACTATGAAGTTCACTAATCTCAACAAACCTATATCAAGAATTGATATTTTTGTGAGACATGAACCTGAATCATCTAGTGTAGCAATCAGGAGCGTAACTAAAAGATTATTCCTACACCTACAGGTTTCATACGTTTGCACGAACCTAGCAGTTAGTAATAAATACTATTATTTCTATATATTATATCAATCAAGTTGAAATATTCTGATACATTACCAAGTGTATGAATTTGATAAACTGAATTTTTTTCAATAGATTACAACTAGCTTCGTGTGACTAGCTAGGTCAAACCAAAATAAAAATCATGAATTGTCAATCCTGTAACAGTGAACTAATCAATTATGTTGTACAAAAATTTTCATCACAGTCAATAAATAGACGATGTGTTAAGGTCTTAACAATCATTAGAACTTGAGATCTCTGAGTCATAATGGTTGTCTGGCTGTTGACTAGATATTTCAGTTCAGTCGTCATTTTTATCTGTGTTTCTTTTACCTCATATACCATGTAAGTTAGCAGTAAGTAACTAAATGAATTTTATCAAACAGAAAGAAAACTCGATCGAAACTGAACAAGTACATAAATCAATGTTTGTCTAATCATTTAGCTAAAATAACATGTTTCACAATAATGAATTTCAGTAAAAATCCTTGTCCTTTTGTATTGTGGCCTAATAGCTACAACAAATTGAAATTCAAGTCTTTTTGTACACTTATATTATGTTTGGTAAACCTCTTATCTAAACAATACGAAAGTAACTGATAAATATTTAATCCGTTCGATTGGGTTATTCTTTTAGAATATTGGCTACCAAACTATACTCACACTGAATTCATGAATATTTTACGTCATCTTAACTGTCTTTTTCATGGTCTCTTGGAACTGTTCTACGTAAGTTGATAATATTATTGATATTTTATAGTTGCATGTCAAAGATCGGTATTATTTCTATATAAACATCAAATCAAAGTACATGGTTATGCCTCTCAAATGTATATTGACTTACAACCCTAGGAACTTGTAGGTTTCCCATTTGTTTACATTCGCACTGAAAATGGATTTCCCCATTTTTAGGTATTTGGATCCATATATAGTTGCTGATTACTTTATTACAACTTCAGATCAGTAGTCAATCGATAATTATTTCTCTGAAATAATTACTTCAACAAAAAACGATTATCATAATGTTTAATTACGAAAACATTTTTACAAAATCCATTCAACTACTTTGTTAGGCATCACTTAATTCTTTTGAGAAAATTTGACCAGTTCAACAATCGTTGGATTTTTAATGTTAATAATTACGGATTATCATTTGTTGTTATCGTGCTCTATTTTTGAAAAAAAAGTTCATCTAATTAAAAACACCGGAAGTATGAAAAACGCTTAAATCATAAAAAATAATTTAAATATGATGAACTCAACAATGAAAAAATAAAACACTGATCTTATTTTCATTGTTAGTCTAAGTGACGTCATATTAATCATTGGTAAGCTAGCATGTTACTTACCTTCAGTTTACATGTAGTTTTTTTAACCATTTACGGATAAATTTTTAGTTTTGATATAGACACTAAATAGAAAATCATTGAAAACCAGGGAGTACTAGTTAAATGTTTCCTTTTAGTTTAAGAGACCTGACCGGAAGATATTTACGTCCTTCAACCTCAACAAACTGAGGGCTTTCAAATATCGTAACAGGCACGATGGCTTTGTTGATTTCAGTTGGTATGATTTACTGTCTCACTGATGATCTAGTTAATTTTACATAAGGCAGGACAACTAGTGAAAAACATGGAGGTCATAATTTTACTTTCTTACGGGGTTGTGGGAGCGCATTGGTTAGTAGTTCAAAATTCTAGAACACAAGAATTTTCCAGTACCTGATTTTAAAACTGTTATCAGATAGTGAAGAATAACAGTCTTTGGTTTACTTCGACGTAGAACGTTATATTGTATTGATGACTATTCCAAGGAAACACTGAACTAAACCACTGGTTTTCTCTGGTTCTTCAATTAAAGTCAATTTGTTATGGAAATTTCTATTAATTTGTAAGGAATCTTTACGAAATTTGCTAAAGCACTAAAAACATTTTTCCCATTATGAGCAAGGTAGTATTACTTGAAATATTTAACTTATAATAAACAATGAGAATAATAATAGAAAATAATCGTAACCGTATTTTTCTCATGAATGGAAAAAAGTCATTTACATTCTCATTCAGTCGTAGAAAACGTTGGCTCTGAGAAAAATGCTTACATTTGTTCGATTTCCTTGATATCACAGTAGCATATGGAGAAAGAAATGGTTTTGAAATACTTCAGGAGCTATATACCACCACTTATCAACAAAGTGAGTGCATAATAGAGGGATCACAACTGTTATAACGTGATAAAAGTATTAAAAAATTCATCGGGGGTAATTAAGCAAATTCATTTCATCACCTGTGTCCCACATACTCAATAACTTTATTCATAGAATGTTTTACAAATGTGATTTTCTGTGACAGATTCTGAAATTAATCTAATTTATTAGTGAATACTAATTATACAAGTTCAATTCATGTAGAAGTGAAATAAGATAGAGAGGCTATAACCATATAAAACATGTGAAAATAGTCTTATATATTTCTAGGATTTAGTTTGCATATGAAATGAAATTAATTGGCATCATCCTAGACTATTTATTACTCTGACTTTTTTAAATTCTATTTAAAGTGATATATTAGCGGAACTCCAAGAAAGCAGATTTATTAAATTATAATTGCTAGCTCTAAATCTTCTGTTTCATCTAGAATTAACTAAGTAGTAATTAAAGTACAAAAATATTCACAAAAAAATACCATGACGTGTCAAACAGTAAATGATTGATCAACAGAGAGAATCATAGACTCAGACTAACCACTTTTACTTCACTTTTTGTTAGTCATTTCAACTTTGTCCACAGTACTAAGACTTACGAATGAAATGTCAGCAGAATGCTTAGTATTTAACTACTCAGAATAACTTATAACAATTTCCTATCTTATTTTCTTTGAATTTGTCAGTAATTATGAAAATATATGTAAAGAAAGTATTACAGGAATGATTCCCTTTTAGTTATCTTCAACTAGTGTTTCACCTCTGATACCTTTCTCTATTGCGTAATATATATGGTGTATCCATTTCAGTGTACCTCTTCGTCTCTTCAGCTGATAAACAATGGGGAAAATATGCCTACCATGGTCGTAGTTACGTTTAAAGTTTTTAGTAAATGATTTTATAGTAGGTTGGAATCACTTTATAAGAGCTGATGAGTATATGAGGTTAGCACACATAAGTAATTATTTAAAGCAAGTGCAAAACTTTGCTATAATCTTTTAACAATGAGAAAATACATAACTCAGCTGTTTGAGCAAGCCACAAAGTGATTTTAATATTCGAAGCGTGACGCTTCAGAACTGAGCGTCTACAGATCATTTAACCATCTCATTAAATTCAAGTAAAAATGAAATCATCCAGAAATAAGGGAACTGTTGTGGTTCCTCACAACTTACCATGGTATCTTGACCTTTTTTATTCTGTAATACCACACAAATAGGTACTTCAACTGTTGCAGACAAAACACTTTGTAACGGAATTAACGCTTGTCCCATGAATCTAAATAAAAAATGGAATATGTTGTATAAACATGTTCTTCATTCCTCAGGTCAAAAGTGAAATACTGCTGATAATGACTGGTTTCATTATTACAATCTCAAAAGTTTTATGGGTTCAAATCAGCTAATTGTCAATAGCTTGAACCCCAAAACTGACATACAGTCCTGAATCTACCTCGGTTTGATGTTTAACCACAGCCTTAGGTGAAGTTAACGTAATTACATCAACTTGATTAGGACGACAGAAATGCTGATCTGAGAAATTAGTTTAAATACAGGCAAATGATAAAAAGAGATAGTTTTGTTCACATCCACGTCATAAATCGTGGAATACAACACTTTTAAGTTTATGCTTACGTCAAAAACAGACCGCACAAGACAAAATATAGGCAATGATTTTGCTGATGGTGTTTTCTATAATTAATTCATGAACTGTTCATATATGAAGGCGACGAACGATATTATTTGACATGTGAATGACAAATTTCCGCAGATAAAGGTGACAACTTCTTTCTATTAAAAGTTTCATTTGTGCACTTAACTCTCTTGCTACCACAGCAATGTCTGCTATTTATCTCTGATATAAGGAACTGTTTATCTAGTGGTAGAATTTGTCTTTATTAACATTCAGCTTGAAATCCATCGAAGAACATGTAGAAATTTGCACGAAGATTCGTGGAGATTGTAGTATTTTCAAATTTGAAGCCATGAGTCCATCTAAGCTAGAAAACCACTGAAAACCTGGAATAATCGGACAGCTGTTTCTTCCTAGTATGGGCCTCGGACAGAAGACCTTCGGTTTCGTGAGTGAACGTATAATCTCTAGCCTATCGAGCCGCCTTCCAACGGTGTTAATGTCTAACTTTAATCGATCCACGATCTTGCGCAACTCTTTATCCATGTAGAAGTAACGAAAAAAATACTGCTTTATTATTTATTTGTCCTTCCTTTTGACAAGAGGTCGTGTCATATTATCACACAAGCAACTGGTATTCAGGATCTAGGTTATGAGTTCTTTTTGAGATCTGGAGTCAGCTGGAAAGGCTGAGTTTGTGTAAGATTATATGAATCATACTTTCTGGATAGACGTCACTTTATTCTGAACATATATGTTTGAGTTACTTCAACAAGGAGGCTCTCCATAAATGTAACCAAATCTGACCACTACTTGGTTCGCATCGATGTTATAAGCGACATGTCTGAGTGGTAATTTAGGTTTTAGAATAACGGAGCCATATAATAGACTGAGTTTTAGTTATTGGGAGCCAAAGACTTAGCGAATTAAGATTGATTAGAGAAGTCAGAACTTCTAGCAATAATGAGATGTTCGGTTGGAAAAAAGTGAAATATAAAGTGAGAAATAGTGTATATTACTTAGAAAAAGAAGATAATAGATATGTAAGGAGATATCAAATTAGCCCCGTTTGTAACAACACAGTTTGGATATTTTAGCGCATATCAATAATCAGACTAATATAATTTTTCATCTTGCATCTATAGTGCATATGAGACTTATCAAATAGTAGAATGTGGAAACCACTTTTTGAACTAATAATATTTACAAATCAATGAGATAACATTGAGAAACTCTTTTCTAAAGTAATCAAAAACTAAGTTTAATATTCTGTCTATGCCAGACAAAATTGGTTTTGAATTAAGGTTTTTTATTTACCAATTTTATGTATCGAATGCCGGCTTCTTACTCAATATAACTTATTCGATAACAGGTTATAAATACCCATAAGATTTATCATCCATATATATATATATATATATATATATATATATATATATTGCTTACTTGTCTGGTGTAACTTTATCGAAATCCATTACTTTGATCAGTACATTATCTGAAGCAACTAAAGGTTTCCCTTTTAAATCGATTATTATTTCCTATTTGTTTCAAAAATGAGTTTGATTGAATGTTTAATTTTGTGAAGGAATTATTATCTACCTCGTCCCATACCGGATTTAAATCGTCATCTTTAACTTTTGTTTTCTGTTTTTGTCCTAAAAACAGGTAAAAATAAGTACATAAAAATATGTGGTACATTTTGTTGATTAGTTAATTTCCTTTTTTACATAAAACATTTTGTAATTACTACATAGGTTTGATGAAACTAATAGAAATGACTGACAAGTTTTTACTTATAATTTGCTCACAAAATCAAACTGGAATACGTATCAAACAGACATCAGAGAACAGAAACCAGTAGCCAATGTAGAATATGGAATTCAATTTAATATTTATCAGAAAACTCAACTAGGAAACTGTTTTACCCAATGATCAAGAATATGTAGTGCCGGAATTCGTTAATCGTTCGTTTCGATAACCGATATAATTCTAATCTTAACGGCGCGTAAAATCAGAAGACAAAGGATAGCAGCGACTACAGTTTATTGTCGAATAACTCAGGTCAGAAAGTTAGCAACACCTGAGCGAATACGAACGAGCGAGTGAGCGGCAAGCGAGAGAGCGAGGCGAAAGATGATGCGTATTGGAGATGGCTGGGAAGCCAACTCGAGAGCGAAGCGAACATAATGCATATTGGAGATGGCTGTGAAGCCAACTCGAGAGCGAAGCGAAAGATAATACGTATTGGAGATGGCTGGGAAGCCAACTCAAGAGCGAAACGAAAATAATGCATATTGGAGATGGCTGTGAAGCCAACTCGATTTAAGCAAGCGTTAATCAACATTTATAGTCGGACAAAAATGAGTGACAGACATATGATGAATAAGATAGGAAGTGTACACATATATGCTCATATAAAAGTATAGGCAAGGTTAATAAGCGAATAATGAACAAGATCAAAATATGACTCATGGCTTGGTCAGCAACTAGAATAAAGTATATGGGCTTAACAAATAAACTGATACTACAAATAAAACTGAAGATCGCGATAGTAATTCAATGCAAATTACCAGGAATCTAAATAAAGGCAAGTTCCGACCGATATAGACTTCTCTATGCGGTACCAAATTACTCGTTGGTTTCAGTCATTTACAAGAAATCTGAAAGCTTTCAATCTGTCTATAAAAGATTTAATGATGAGCCAGATGGTAAGGTGAATTAACTTAACATCAGTGTCTTGAATTGAATTATATGTAAGTTATGAAGCTATAGAACAAAAGATATTAAGGTTAACGGAAAGGTATTTTTGGATAAGAAGGAAAATTTACTTCATAAGATTTTTAAGTGAACATATATAGTTGTATATCAAACTAAGAGTAATTCAATAAAAGTGAAGGACGACAGAAAAAACGGCAACAGCTTTTTCTTCGTAAATGTAAGTTTGAATTATCTAATGAAATACGGACCGGCAGCATACGCAGCCATAGGGCTGTGACTTCGTTGTTAAGGTACTATATTTTCAATCATGAAGCTATGGATTCAGTTCATACCTTTCCTAATTCACCAAAATACCCTGTTCATCTTTTTATAAAATATCCAATCTGGTAACCGTCAATATACTTGTTTTCAATTTCCAACAATAATCACTTCGACTATTTCGACTACTTTATTCTCCCTCTTTCAGTTATTTAGTTACTTATTCGATGTTATTTTCATAATTACTTATGAAATTACAACATTATTATTTAACTCTACTGCTCAATTATCAGTATTTAATCATTGTAAATCACATATATATTAGTGTAGAGGTTTGGTACAAAACTAATCGATGTGAAGTATTTCACCGTTATGTTTTTCTTTCAATTCCATCTAAACAGCCAAATAGTATCACTGATCTTCATGCACAAAATTTACTCCTAAAATTCAAGTACTTAGCTACTGAATAATCTCAACAATGTATACCTGCAGAAAATGTCATTAAAAAATAAAAGTACAGCTTGAGTGGTTATTTTTTGACTGAATTTTTCTTTAGCATTCATTGTATCCTTGACATTTGAATGAGAACCTTGAAATAGATAAAAACTACAGTACAAATTGACTTTTAACTGTAATTAATGATTTTATGTTAGGTGAATAGAGGAAGTCGGCAGGAAACTATGGATTAAGTCTTTGTGATAGTTGATGCTTTTCAACAAAGCGTAGTTTCAGTTTCCAGGTTAATGATGATCCCTGTTTCAACGAACTTTGATCCAAAACGTTACTAGTGAGCTATTTGGTAAATAAGTAATCCATTTTACGACTTAGATATTTACATCAATTGATCACCCAGTAGTGACCAATGTCCCACATGTCTATTCATTAGTCTTAATGGGATTCTGTAGATCGGTATGCAATGTGGTATGATTAATTCGAATATTCACACTTACGAAAGTAAAACAAACTGTTTTCTCCAGGAAAAGTTTATCAACAAGTTGATATTCATAAAAACAAGTAAATGTTGAATCTGTTAGTAGTTGTCTTTTAATCTTCATTTATTTGGCCACTTACTAATTCGTTTTAAATAATCACAAACAATCAGTACCCAAATATTAACATGTCCCAGAATTCTTTAACAACGAATTTTGCACTTTTATGAAATTTCATCCTTATTTGCTCGTTTTCAAAACAAAATAACACGTCACAATACAAGTACTGGAGAAAATTATTTAATTAAACATTTTTTACTGCAGTATCCTGATTTAATCAATACCTTCATTAATAGATCAAGTGCTGTAAACAGGAATAATCATGTTTATTAATCCAATCTACGGTTTGATAAACTTATAGTGAATATTTATCATTGAAAAAAAAAATTACAATTAAATCTTTTATATAAACTTGTATTTAAAAAGTATTGCTCATGTAACAAATAAATTTAGGACACATACTAATTTAGTGATATGTTTTTTGATGTACATCAACTTTTCTTTTATATGAACTGAAAGTAGTCTGTTGTTTATAGTTTCCAGTCTAAATCTCTGTGTTAGGATGAGTATTCCTCGAACAATGATTAAGTGATCATAAGTTATGTTAGATCAGCTAGAATTTACAATTAACTATTAAAGAAATAATACATAGTAAACTGAATATTACATAAGTTGTCGAAAATCTATCATCCATAAACTGACATTTTATTGTCAGAAGAGTTAGTAAGTTGCTAACTTGTGAATGAGCACATATACGCAAATCAAGCATTAGAGGAATTTACAGGAGGTAATTAACTCATCCAATTAATTAGATAAATGTCAGTGGTATCCATAATCAATTGATCTCAGATGAATCAACATTGAAAACCGGAAATTATAAAACAGCTATTTCATCCTAGTACATGACTATGCAGTATTTTGGACTCACGAGCTCATAAGGAAACGAATCCAAAATCTTCGGGTATCGGCGAGGACACTTAGTCGCCAAAACCGTTAATTTAGTGTTCAATTGTAATCAACTATAGATAAATTAAAAAACACTTGATAAACATGGAAATCCATGAGGCTCTCTTTACTGTCTGATAAATTCTAGTTGAATGTACCTTCATCTTGGTATCGTTGAGGTTTATATACTGAGACTCAAGCTCAGCATCCAATGCTTTAGTAACCAACACTTTATCCATTAACAACAATCCGGAAATATATATTTCGTTTACAGCTACAAGCTATATCACGGCTTCTCCTCGAAGAGCCTATATTGCGAGTATAATTCTCGTTTTAGCAATTTTATCAATGTTAAGTCCAGCCTGTTATACTCGTTATACAATGTAGATAAATTTATCGACACAAAGATACTTCTGTTCTTGTAGGTTTTGGAAAAAAATGCCCGTTGTGCCATTTTTGTAGATTACCATGAGTCCTAAGCAGTCCGTTTTACGATATTAGTGAAAACAGTTGAAAATAATTATTCATGAAAGAAGACAGCTTATCTGCATGAACAGATATTCCATTGAAAGCGTCATGAAATCAAACATTTTGAGATCGGCCACCTTGGCACAAAATCATTACTTTCCAAAGAAACATCAAATTCGTGACTGTAACTAGAATGCAACACAAACATTTCTACAACATAATGCAAGGTTACACAACAAAGATTTCTTTCACATTGCCCATAAGGAGTCCTTTCAACTTTATAATAAACAGTCAGTAACTAAATTTTATAACGACAATGGTAGTGAAGTCTGAAATGTGTGATTCAAACTAACCATAAGTCATCAGTATCTCAGTAAACTGGATTCAAGTGAGTGATTCAATCCAAAAAATTACAATCTTCACCCCAGGTGAATTATTAGATACGAAGCTTCGTTTTATCAACAAAGTAAATCTTTTAGTAAGAAAATACTTAAATGCATTTGTAAGTGAGATGTAATTAATTATCAGAAGGGGTTTTGTGGAGATTTAGTATTTTTCAATTGACTCACGCTTTCAACTATGAAATGTAATTCTCAATATTGAGTCATTTTTGACTGTCAAGTACATTTTTAAATAATGGATATCGTTTAGATTTATTTGGCTGAAGTTGTAAATATGAACAATTGTAATCAAATTAAGTGTTCCAAAGACAGAGAACTTGTTGTAAGATCTCTTTTTAAATTCGGCTACTGACAGTCATAGATGGATAGAGCTGGGGAGTTCCATACTGTGACGGAACAGTCACTGAAGGCTCTTTTGCTTTCAAAGATTGTATGCCGAATGTTTGTACATAATCTAAGCTATCTTCAGACCTAACAATCTTAGCAGCTGTCACATTCTAATATATAGAGGTATTAGTGATGTATCAATCACTGTGGAATACAAAAATTCTCTAGAATGAACTGATACAGGATTAGAACATGATTTGCACATCCTACTTATAGTGTTATTGTTGTTCCATTTTCAATCAAAACAACTGTTCATCACAAACCATCAAGCTTTCTAGTGTTTCTGCCAAAATAATTATGAAAACAAGTGTTCGACTACATTTTAGTCACTGTAGCCCAGTGATCTTGTAAAAACTTGAATTTAGTCATTAAAATAATTTAAAAAACTGGAGAAATCTGTTAAGTTGGTATCTATTAATTTTTATACAAGAAATTACAGCTATTGTGTAACATTTGATATGGAGACTTTGTGGAGATTACTGAATCTTATATTTTTATACCAAAGATTGACCTCAGCTAAGCAACCATTAAAAACCAGAAAGCAAAGGAGATCCACTTCGTTCTAGTGTATGACTCGCTAATACCTTTTTCAACCAATTCACTAACCCCTCATTCCGTAATGATCAATAGAAAAGATTGAATCAACGTTAGTATAGATAGAAGTAAGATGAGATCATTACTGAATTGAAAGGAAATAAAACGGTTCAATTGTATATGGGGAATTTGAACATGGGAGGGGATAACTGAGATTTTGTAGGCAGTTTCTTCCACTAATCGAAATCAATTGACGAATTATGAAAAACCTGGGAGCAGTAAATACATGATTTGTCCTAGATGAGGACATTAAAGTAATTTTTATCTATAGTTTCACACCGAAGGGAGAATATTCATATTTTATCCCTGTAGTTCACATTGTCCATCTAAGCACAGTTTGTGATTTCATGGAAAATAATATTCCCCTGTATTAGAAATCACTGTGTCTCCTTCCTAACATCGTTCAACACTACACCAATGATAAATCTTCGTGGGAGCTTTGAGAATTTATTTAATAACTGTAGACAGCTGGGTTCCAATCCAATGATCTAAAACTATCATAGTCGCACACGACTTAAATGTCGTAAGTTTGATCTTATGTACTAGGTTGTGAGTGCGCACTATTGAAAGTCAGCAGAATATGATGACCTAAATATTCAGTACTCCCCAGTTTTCAGTGATTATCCAAACCAGTCAGTTTTCTTTGTTGGTGATCTATGTTTAACCTTACGTACAAACAGTAACAAATAATGAAAATTCTATTTCCAATCAATTTTTTATATTCTCGGCTTTGAGTAGTACTTTTCTGTGCAAGGACCATTTATTCTACTTGGCTGCTCTAACTGAAAATGTGACCCAAAGATTAAAAGTTTAGTGCTTTTTTCAAACATCCACTGCCCCACCACGTTTAGTTCAGTAAATTTTCGGTTGTTTTTAACAAGATTGATTAATTTATGTGTTTAAAATACTGCAATAGTAGTGAATAATATACTGAAAACCTATGTTTTTTGAATTTCAATGTTATGTGTGCTTAATGTAAAACATACAGATCATTATACTTGACTTAACTTAATTTGCCCAGTGGAATGTTAGAAGCTCCTTAGGGCACAATGAGGATTATTTTTATCTAATCAGTGTATTTGATACCAGTTTTGATCCTAGGGAAGATTTTCTGAAACTTCGGAAACTTGGCATTGATATTTTTACTTTAAAATTGCTAATGCCTTTATTTTGTAGTTTCAGATTGTGATAGATACAAAATATGATCCTTGTAAACACCAATCATGTGATTTGACTGCCATTACTTATTGTTGTCTGTAAAGTGATATCATGTAAAGAAATCTCAGCAATAACATATACCAGTTAGTCTCACTTTTAAAAAAATTCGCAACAATTTTTTAAACAACTAAGGGGTTGTTACAAATGTGCACTGGTCGAAATTTCAACACTTTATATCAAAAATATAGGATTCAGGATTCAGATGGCAAGTCTAAAGGCAGCCTGCTTGAACATCTAGGCTACAAGCACAATATAAATATTTAAGATTGTAACAAATTTTTCAGTAAGTCATCACAAAAGCGTAAGGACAATCACAATGACAGGACTTCAGAAGTTACGGATTAATAAAAGTATCATAAATTGTAAATAGTCAATATATGTCCAAATAAAATAAAGCAGGGTGAGAATGTGAGTTCTGTATATTTCATTATTATGTTGGTTTTCAGGGGGAAATAAAATAACATGCCGCACAGCAACCATTCCCTTAATACTAGAAACCTAACAAAATCAATATTAACTTAAAACACGAAGCAATTTACTTTATTCCCATGTGTATACTCCCACTAACCATAATAGATAAAGTATAATTCGAAACGCCATCCAAAAACAAAAATTCACCATATCCTCAGGCTTAACGACTTACAAACGTGCTTAACATAAACTTGTCAAGTAGTCATTTACACTTAGACAATTGAGATAGCTCAAAATGTTAAGTAGTTAAGATTAGTAATTGAATTCGGTCATAAAAATCCAGGTAAATGTGTAATATTACTCAATGAATTTATTAGTTTATGCTAGCTTAAAGTGTTCAATTACCTGTTAAGCTCAAAAAATCACCGGATACTACTGAGCAAGGCGATGGTTAAATTAGGTTGGACGTTATCCCGACATACGAAACCATTTCTAATTTACCTGAACTGTATTGTAATATATAGTTTTGATGATTGTCCCGTTTTGTTTGTGCAGATGTTGTTGATCATAAGTTACTTCTAGGCCTAAACTCCTTATCAGTAATTTACTTTTTGGGAAAAATCTGTTGGTTTATCATGATATTTTTGATTACTTTATTTTTCCTCCTTTTACGCGAAACTACAGAATTTTAGTGTTCATGTCTCATTAAAATAACACCGATACGTTTACTTGGAACAAGGATCTTACAGTGAACCAAAATGTTTCTATTCTAACCCATGTACGAGGATCTTGGCAATAAATACAGATATTAGGCAACCAGGTGTAAGAGATTATATGGAAACTACCAATGTATAATACAGATTTGAAAGACTACATGACTTAACAATTATCTAAATCCACTCAATGAATAACTCCGACAACACTTCTGTGATCATATCACTTAACTGAAGCCAACCTAATTGTACTTTATGGTTGCATGAATTTTATAAGTAAAGCATTATTTATAAAAGCTACGGCCAGGTAAGAACGGAAAAACATTCAGTAGCTTATAAAAGCAGTGTCAGATATTTATAATCTATTCACTAATAAGTTGATTAATTAATGGTGGTTTTTTGGTAAAACAGTATAAAGCATGAAACTAAAGTGAATCTATATAATGTCAAATATTAGTTGACCAAGAATATTGAAAAGTACAGTAGGGTTTATTTTTGGCCCAAATTTATAGATTGTGAGTCACTTCCCATATGATCAAACAGTCCATAAAATTGCGTTTTCAAGAAACTGGACGTATCATAAACCCATCTTATCTCATCTGATGCTCGTGTATGGTCTCAAATAATTTAAGATCGAAGGTGGGTATGACGGCGGATTAGAAAGCGCACGCATTTGTATATACTCTTAAGCCATCCCTTCCTACGAATATAATCCACAAAAGGTTTATTTTCGACTAATAAATCACTTGAACTCTGCCAGTATTTTAGCCCCTAAATTTATCTTTTTAACCCAGAAATATCCAAAATACGATTCAAACTAAACTCATACTCTCTCTTTTGTGCATTTGATTCCCATCAAACTGAAGATTATGACAAGTTTTTTCGGCAGGCCAAATTTTTTAATAAACAAGAAATTACGGAAGTTATATGACAACTACTGTGGTGGCATTAGTTACTAGAACATTACGCTGTGTTTTAGTAGATCAGTCATAAAATTTGATTTTACTTTTATTTTATCAAATTTTTTATGGCGTGAAAGAGCTCGCTCAAACTCGCTTTCAATTGGCTAGTCACAAATAATTCAGAAAGTCACGAGTATAAATCGGTTCATGTTAACCCACTACACCAGCAGAAGTTAAAAATATCAAGATATCCCACAGTGGTATGGTAACTAGTAGTATCAGTATTAATAAAAGAACTTCATATAAGAAAGGAATAAAAGACTTGTAAGGTGGTTTTGGACTCAGTGGCAAAAAGGAGAAACAGAATGAATGAAAAGTGTCACTCGGAGAAATTTTGAGTCATATCATGCAACGTTTACGACCGTTAATCGTGATAAATGAGCAAGCCATAATAACTTTGTCCTTATATTTTAATTTCTTTTTAATTTCAAGGAATAAAAATAAACTTAGATTGCATAAATGCGCTTATAACTTAAATCAAATAGTATGAAGCATAGACATTTTCTTCGGTACTCTCACGTTTTTCAGACCTTCTCAGCTATGAAACAAAAAAAAATGTCAGCTGGGAACAATCTCTAGATATATGCGATGACTGTACCAACTTACACTGTATTAAAAAATAACAACAAGTTGCTTCTCCTCATTATTAAACGTTTATCAAATATTTACGTCGTAGCAGAAACTTACACAAGGCAAACAAAGAACTCAGTGTTGTGTATCAATAATTCACTACTCTTTGTTAAAAATTTAAAACACGGAGTTGATATGTTTGACAAAAAATCATATTTCGCAAAACGACAATATAATATATAGGTCAACTTTATCCTTCAGTACCTTGAAAATCGACAACGACGTAGGGGTCACTCTTCCCAGAGATCTCGATATTTTTCAGGTTATTGGCTTTCTTTACGTTCACATGAAGCGCATACATGTTTCATAAACCAAATGTGATGCGCCAGAGCATCGACCCTATGCAATGACCTATTTAAGTGTTTTAATGGTTAAAACAAAATGGGCAAGCATTCAATAAATAAGTTAGTTCATGCGTAAAGCTTACATTGTGAAGCTGAATTGTAACTATAGAATTCTATGATAATAAGCGAGATAGGAAGTAGTTACCGAAATTTGGTAACGAGTACGGCAGAAAAGTTATGAGACATGAATCTGATACGATTGGTTCAAGAGCGATGTAAACGTGTTTATCGAGTCACTTGTATCCACTGGGTGGCATGCGGTCACTTCGGCCATGGGAGGATTCCAAGTGGGGCAACTCTTGACGAGACAAAGTGTTAGTGTCTCTGGGTCTCTGGCCTTTGGTACGCAATCTATCACTAGTTGCTTAGAGGAGTGTCGCGAATATGCTATGGTAGGGTATTCGTATCGGGGTGACACGGGGTTCTTGGTATGCTAAGTGCCACTATCGTGTCACTTTTTAACCTCTACAGCCCAGTCTGAACAATTCAAACTGCTGAAGCCTCTATTTGTCAGATTTACTCTCTGGTGTTAGAGGAGAACTGAAAATATATTACCGATCAGGAACTGTTACACTGGTTGGAGAACAGTGAGGCCACTTCACTTGCCGTACTGATCTACATGTTCCCTTGAAACCCGTAATCACCCAAAATAAATGCTTTCGCACATCAAACGGAAGTTTTCTATCTCACAGGTGTTGTTCCACAGCTTCGGGGAAGCTTCCTCCGTCCCAGCTGCTGTTGGACTAGACGTCTGTGGTTATAATTAGAAACAACTTATTTTGCAATTGATTGTAACCGTGATTTGCCTTTTTAATTCCCATAATTCACAAGATCACTATCATTGTCTGTAAAATCGCCGTGTGAAATGAACGACGTTTGATCTTTCCTTCCATTTTCGTTTTTGAATTCCACCTAACATGACACATTGATCATTGCTCATATATCGCCGCACACACGCTTCTTCTTCCCAATTAAACGCTCTTACAGTAACAGAACTTCAATAATTTTACAATCTACGTTCACAAATCACAGTGACATACTCAAATAACAGTCTGTTACATGAGGCATGCCAGTTTACAATGTAGCGGTGAATAAATCCCCAATATCAAAAGCTCTGTATCCCTTCGACATCGGATGCTGAACACTTCAGTTTCAACGGACTCACTTAACTGAAGGCGCCCGGTCATGCATCCGCACCAGATCACGAGTGGGAACGCCGTCCTCTACTTCTCATGCAACCGCTGGACAGTTAGACCAGTCACTTCTCGATATATTGATAATCTATCGAATATATCTTCCAGCCTCCTAGCTTATCACTTCTGTGTTCACTGGGTGGGCAAGATTCAATTATAGAAGGTGTTGCTAATAGTGTTGTAACACTACAATACTTGTGGTATCCTCAATAAGCAATATCAAACGGCTACAGAAGATACAGTCTCCACTGTGGTGGGCTACGCAGTTAGTTTGATGTTTTACAAGGTACATTGATCATAAATTTATGGGGGATAACACTTCTCACTTATGATTGTAAATGATAATATTATTTATCAATGGGACAGTTGGCGGACTTTATGGAGGCTCCTTTCCGTTATGCAACTGATAGTCGGGATTAAATCACGTAAATTTGAGAGCTTGTGTAAACCGTGAGCTTATACTCCTATGGAACATCTGAAACATTAATGATGGCACAGTTTAGTAAATCATATTGCAATGAAGATAACTAAAGGTATAAACTAGAAGAGACTGACCAGATTATATGTGGTTAAGAGATGTTAAGGACTAACAACAAATCAAAGGAAATGAAAGAGTAGAAAATTGTAAAATTTTCAAGGTAAGAAAAATAAAACATTGAGCAAGTCACAAGAATTAAGGATATTTTGAGGTTCCTTTGATCAGCCTTAGTTGATCAGCATCCACAAGATTAGTGAGTTGTCAGTATGCTTGCAATAGAAAAAAAGACATAACGCTTAGGAGGAATAATGTACCTTTAACCACTAGAGAGATTCGGAATCTAAGTGTGAGGGTTGGAAGCAGACAGCCATGGTTAATAATCAATGAATAGTGAGAGGGTAAACCATGTGTTCTGTAATTTGGTTATATTCATATTATTAACAGTGGGGTTTGTTAAATTCTTGCTCCGTCTAGATATTAGGCGGTTCATAATAAAGTGCTTCATTGATGGGCTGGAGTTCAAAAAATAGTTGATGAAGCTCTTTAGAGTCTAATGACCAGGTTATCAGTCTTTTGAATTCGGTAAAATGTCACAGTTACGGATAGGTATTGATAACCTGTTCCACAATAAACTATACCGCACCGTAGAAGACTTACAAAGCATTTGTTTTCGGCGTTTTACGGTTAATAGTGTATATGGGTTGTTTCTTAGTCTATAGGCTTGATCACGGATCGTAGTTGGTGCTTACATCTATTTGTGTAGTTGGGAGTAGAGTCATCTCCTAGCAGTTGGCGTGTGAAGCGTTTTTGAACATTTTCTACTCTGATTTTGTCTGTGGTATTCATATTAGAGAAAGTAAAAGAGCAGTATTCAAGGGAAGGCCGTACGCATATTTTGAATAGGGTAGGCTCAGCCTCTCGTGAAGAACTTTTTCGTTATGAAACCAATTAGCCGCCTAGCTTTATAAATATTAGGGAAGGCATGTTCTTCATAGTTTGGGCTTCCTGTGTAACTAATATAAGTCTACACTTTTCCGCCTACTTTGGTAAGCAACTATCCTACATTATACCCTTCTTAATCCCTATAGTCTGATTGGCGACGTATACTTCACACTATGGTCAATTAAAGCATTGAATTGAAGCTTTTCCCACAGTCCATAGTTTGTACCTGTCTGATAAGCTTGTAAGATGGTACTTATAGAAATAGTGTTTTCCAACAGAGCATCGTGTGAGGTATGACATATATCCAAAAATTAAGCTTAAATGAGCCTAACATCACAAAAGGAGGGACGGTGGAGTTACTAACCAGCAAGCATTGATGGTGATGGTGATGACTTCAATCCACCCGTGTTTGTGGGGCAGAACAGTTTGTTTATATCAGGCTCTTTATGGAAGAGAACAAGTCAATCACTCAGTGATATTGAGGTTTTTCTCCTACTCTCACTATTCAGACTCATGTTTCCAATTTTTATGCTGGATTTTTTTCCTTCTAAATAAATATTATTCATAAGATTACAAAGCTTCGGATTAAGACAATAACTTGTGTTTTGCTGAATTCAACTTATCAGACCCGTTTTATTTTCACTATGTATATACACTTCATACACATTGATTATTTTTGGCACTTAATTGAAACTTTCATAGCATCACTCAAAACTATGACTGCACGACAATCACTTATTCTAACGTCATATCTTACCGCAATAATAAGTTATTTAGTTATTAATTTATTCTGTTTTATTTTATTTTTATTACTCGTTTTTGCTATACATACATAGTTGTTTACTCTTGTTCTGCGTTAAGATATGTACGTATTCCGCGACTCCTTTATTTCTATTTCTTTAGTTACTTCCTTTCCTCCTTCAAAATCAATTTAAAATTCCTGCCAATTGCGCGCAACCTGATTTATTATTACTATTATTATTACTATTCTATTATTAATATTTTATTTTCCTTTTCCTTCCTTTCTCAAACATGGCATATGTAGTGCTAACACTATTGAAAACTGTGTATCATTGCATTTTTGAAGAAACCCGAAATGGTTTCTTCACAGCGCTTAAGGTGTTTGTGAATAATAAGAATAATGATAATATATTCTACTAAGACAACCTACAACATGCTAACTCGGACTTTTGCATGAAAACTGTGTGGCAGGCATCGGATGATGAAAAAAAACAGACTGCAAAGGATATGGTTGTTATTTAACTTAACACTTTACTCTCTATATGCACTCTCTGTTCTAATAAACAGTCTTCCTCATTCCCATCTTCACTTCCCTTCCTTCATTCGAACCTACTCCACCTTCATAAATATCACAACTCATAGTTCTTTATTACTGCATTCTCTCATCTGGTGAAAAAATACAAATAATTACCGATGAATAGTTGAAATGTGCAAGGGGCGAACAGGGAACTTGCTTCAAAATAAACCCCACTATGTGGAGTAATCAGTTCACAATGTCCACCAAAGTACGTAGTCCTGAGAATCAAAAAGTAATCTTCAGTAAAACAAGTATAGGACTGTCATTCGAAAACTTAACATCATCACGGATTGTATGTATGAGTGCAACAGTAAGTCACTCACTAACTCTGAGAGAACTCCACGGGCTCTAAACAGAAAGTGTTGTCCGCCAAGTGAGGATTTCCAACCCAGTCTCAATGTTGTCTCTCTCTCCATCTCAAAAATAGGGACAAATATATAAAAATAAAGACAACTATAGAAGAATCAGTAAGGACCAAAGAAATTAAAAAGACTGGTCATAAGGAAAAACTGACATGAAATCTTTCTCTCCGTACCTCTACAGGGGCGTAAAGAAAGATTCTACAAAGGTGAGTTCCTGAACGGATCACACGTCGGTTTACTGATGGCTTCTGCGAACTGTTTCAGGGTTGTAGGGCGTATGTTATCACACCCTTTATCTTTCTTAGGCTTACTTACTTACTTACTTTCGCCTGTTACTCCCAATGGAGCATAGGCCGCCGACCAGCTTTCTCCAACCCACTCTGTCCTGGGCCTTCTTTTCTAGTTCTTTCCAGTTCTTGTTCATTCTTCTCATATCTGTCTCTATTTCTCGGCGTAATGTGTTCTTTGGTTTTCCTCTTCTCCTTCGACCTTCAGGATTCCATGTGAGGGCTTGTCTTGTGACACAATTGGGTGATTTCCTCAAAGTGTGCCCAATCCACTTCCAGCGCTTCTTCCTGATTTCTTCCTCCGCTGGAATCTGGTTTGTTATCTCCCACAGTAACTTGTTGCTGATAGTGTCTGGCCATCGTATCCGAAGTATCTTGCGTAGACAGCTGTTAATAAACACTTGTATCTTCTGGATAATGGCTTTCGTAGTTCTCC